TTTAAAATCTAATTTTTTCCGAACCATTATTATATTTCCATTTTTAAAGCTGTCGTATCAAATCTATTTTCGTTTCAAAATGTAACTCGGATTCGTGTTACCCGGATCGTCTTATACGTTTCGCTCTACCAGACATTAATTAAATCACACAATTGATTTGATTGGTTAACATATGGAGGGTAACCGATTTTCACTCCAATAATATAAAACCGGAAACAAGATAATTCGTACTACTCTAATTTAAAGATCATTGCCGTGCTTCATTTTCTTGATGGAACAAAGCAATAAGTAATGAATTCATAAAAATAATAATGATTTATTGTCACTTTGGGCACATTTGCTATATCCGAAGTGACTAATTAAGATATTAAGTGTTGATTTTGATTCGCATCTCGCCAATGTGGCTGGCCAAGTGGGGTGCTTCACGTTTATAACAGCCAAATAGGGGCAGTTTCCCATAGACAGATCGCCCATGTGTTACGTATACAAATAAACTAAAACCAAACCATTATAACTTTCTAATTATATAAAAGAATTTAAATAGAACTTACCTGTAGGATACATTCTTCACGTTTAACACCTAAATTGGGGTTAGTTTTTCAAAGAATGCCCCAACTTGGCAGATAAATCACTGTGTTGTGCTGCCTTATGTATCAAATCAAACCAGCAGGATAGGAATTAAGATACAATATTAAGATTTAATTAAAACTTGAAAGATATTAGAGTATTTACAATATAAAATAAGAAATATAAGTTTTAGAAATTAGTAACATATATATTTTTCACATAACTTAAAACCGATTCATGTGTTTAAAGTGAATAAATTAATTAATTAGTTAAATAGCATACACTACTCGCCCTCATTCACACTTGTGTAAGTATGAATGAGAGCATTAAAAGTAGAAAGGACAAAGGCTCTTTTGTTCAGAATACAGGAAAATTGAAACTCAATAATCATATTGTAGTATTACAATCACGGTTTTAAAATTATATAGTAGATTGTAAAAGATCTTTATAGAATTGTTTAGTAATTTTTTCCCGGCTGTTATATATAACAGAGGGATAGTATGGCGATCCCGCAAAACATGAGCCCCCAAGATTTTTAAACTTTTGGACTTAGAACACCTTGAAACGTCGAGAAATGTAAAAATATCCGGGGGTAATTTCTGTGTGTATCCATGTAGTGTGTATGTGTGTAGGGGGCACGATTTTGTTCACACTGTTTGAAGCTTAATAACTTCTGTGCTTTTTGTCGGAAATTTCTGAAATTTTACAGGGAAGTTTGTGTATTAGGGGGATTAATGCTGTTAAATTTTGGTTATTAAAGGGGCGAGGAGATAATGGGGGTTGTGTGTATTTTCAGTAAGTTCGGACTTAATGACGATGTTACTCGTTATTAGCATTTATAACTTTTTATAAAACCCATCCCTACCCTCAAAATTAGGCTTTTTGCAATTTTATAATAGTTAAAAAATAAAAAGTTTTAAAAATAAAATATGGTAACAGATAGCGTTACCAAATGTTGACGGGGAAAGTTAAACAACTCGTCGCTGAATTTTTATAAAGCATAAAGCATAAAGTCTTGACGATTATTACAGGGATGTATTATGTTAGCATTGAAGATCGTTAACAAGTTTAGAAGCATTGAAAATTATCATAAAGAAAATTCGGAGAAATATTTAAAACAAAGTAAGTGACAAAGTAAATGTTCTGGTTATTATTTAAACAACAAATGTATAAATTGAGTGTATAAAATTGTATTATTTAACTAAAATTTCTATTAATATGCATTGATAAAACATAAATGGACTTATATTTTTAACAATAGTAATGTTTATAAAACCAATTTCTAAATTTTGTCTTAACAAAGTAAATATTAAATACCAATTAGAGAATGAAAATCGATTTTCGTCTTCATTGAAAACCATTGTGACGCTACTTCATTTAAACAGATCGATTCCTCGTTCTGGTTTTTACTTACTCAACAGATAAAACTTTTAAACAGAAAAAATATATATTAATTTATTTTAATTATATTAAATTTAAATATGATAATTGGATTTAGTTATGATTCACTATGGAAAACTGACCCTATTTAGGTGTCACTATCACGAAGAGGTAGCCCTTTATGGGAAATTGCCCCTATATAGGTGTCACTAATGTGAAGAGGACAGCCCATTATTGGAAACTGTCCCTATTTAGGCTTTTCCTGCTGAATTTTACTTTTTCTGCTCTTACAACATAACACTGGAAAGTATTGTAATCGAGACAGATTCGACCCTCCGGATTTTTTGATTCTTGAGACGTCTCGAACCCAAAAATGTCGAAAAAATTCGACACGATTACAATACTTTTCTGTGTTATGTTACAACAGCCGGGGAATTCACGTAATATGCAATGTCAAAAGCAATTTTTGGAAAGGACATTCTCGGTATTAGCGATAAAATATTTTATAACAGAATTGCAATAGAAGAATAACGAATGACACTGACGAGTTTTTTTTTTTCAATTCGCTAAATCATGTTAGTAAACGCTGTCAAAATATTCCTGAAAAAAAACACTTAGAAAAAGTGTAGTTCCTGAGAAAAGGCACAAATGCTGCCGGAAAAGTTAAGCAACTCGTCGCTAAATTTTTCGTAGTGTGTCGAAGAATATTTATGCCAAATTTGGTGAGGTTAAGTTAAACGGTATAGAACCTTTTACCTAACAAACAACAAATCGTATGGATATGGTCAATTGAAGCAGGAATAAAATTTGTTAAAATAATTAAAAAATTCAATATAAAGTGATATTTTAATTATAATTTTCCAACTTTAATTGTTAAATAGAATAACCTCTAGAATAGTTTAAATTTCTTGCAAAAATTTCACAGAATTTTATAAAAGCCGCTTTTAAAGGTAGCAGACTTCGATTTAACGCCACTATCTGTCCATGTTCGGTGTAGCGTGGCTTTATACCGAAGAACATAAAACAATGAAATCTCCGAATAGTTTGAGTTTAATAGCTTGAAAGTCGTGTGATTTCATGATAATGTCGTTTGCAATGCAATGCAATTCAATATTAAAGGTTTTACTCTGTAATATTCACGGGAAAGATCAGTTCACGAATATTCATTGATGCTTTAAGAAAGTGGCATTATGTAGGACTGAGTCATATCAAAGTTTGATTGTACTTATATTATTCTACTAGCATATTTATATAATAGTATAGAATAATTTGTTATATATTGCAGTTGCGCGTTATTCTATTAGCAAAAAGTTGCCTGTGGCCTTCATCAACGGGTGTCCCCAAACCAATCTTTTATAAGAAAATATTTACTCAAAAACTTACCCCGTAGAAAAATGTCTGAAGTCAAAACTATACATAGGCCCCCTAATTCGAATTTGCCTGGGCCCCCTGAAGCTATAACACGCCACTGATATAGTGATGGACAAAAGTCTGCACTGGTAATCCTGAAAATCGAATAGTTTTGTTTCAGTTAAACTGATTAATTAATTAACTTCTAAACCGCGGCCATTTTTCAGAAACTTTGTTTTTTGTTTTGAGTAAAAAAAAAAATGCATACAAAACAACCCCCAAACAATAGCCATTTTTAATGTTCCTGTAGTGTCCGCTGTTCGGAGGTTTGACTATATTAAAATGAATCGTAACAAAATTTGATTTACAGATTGTTAGTGCTTGGATTTTGATGTCCACCGTGTGTATATATTATAGAATAGATAAAGAATATAAGAAAATAAAAGAGATTTCATTCCTAAAAACAGATCTATAATTTTCCGATCAATCGACTTGCACATAAAAGTCAATGCTTTTGCAAGGAAATCGTTAGTTCAACGACCTCTGAAATAAATTCGTTCGACTAAAAAATCGTTACTCGAAACCGGCAAGATGGATATTTTTTCTTCTTTTTTAAATTTTCTTCTTTTTTCATCTTATTGATCATATCAAAACAAATAAAATAAAAAAAAAATAATACAATAATACAGTTCTCCGGTAATAATACAGACCTCACTACCTACCTTTTTTGCCCTTTGGGCCCTAGAAGGCCTTTTAATTCAGCCCATCATGGGTTCGGTCAGGCCTCAATTGGGCGACCGAGTGAAGAGGGACGGGACCTGACTACCCCCAAGAATTCCTGGGGTTTCCGATCCTTCTAGATTCGGTTTTCTGGGTCCCCAGAGAGGAAAGATGACACTTCAATTGCTCGACTATCCAGCCATCAAAAGGCCTACGTCGAGTCTATAGCTTAGGGCCTAAAATTTTCACAGATACTGTATTATTATTTGTGGAAAAGAAGGTCCTCAATTTACACGCACGCTAAAGCTTCGGCTGTAGCTTAGGGCCTCTCGTTATGAATCTACCTCACGTTTTTACATGTATCATTATTTGATGGGAGAAGGGCCTGTAATATATTATAGCTTAGTGTAACAATAAGTCAGTCTAATACTGTCTGAGGCCTAGTGGCGCGTTATCGTTTTATGAGGTCCAGGAAAATTTGAATTAGACGTTCCATGTACAGTGTAGACTTCAGACTTTTTTCTTCGGGAAAGGGGAATTTTTGAGGGAAATATTTTCATATAAAAGATTGGTTTGGAGTCTTAGACAATTGCCCTTTTTGTCTATAAGATAACGCGTCATTGCTGGGCTCTAGATAAAGATTTAAGTTGCCCATTCCTACAAATTTTTAATTACGTTGAATTAAGCTGAGCGTGTTTAAAAACACTAAACCGAGTGTCTTATCTCACGCAAGGTATATTCGAGTATTATTAAAGGTAAAAACATTTGTATTGAATTTCCTCAATTAACTCGCTACCGTGTTATATTTATAGGTTTTGTGTCAGTGTTTTATGTCATTTCTCGTATGTCAAGATTACACTGTCAGAACATTCGTCAATTTTTTCTTTATATTCGTGAATAACGAATACTTTCAAGACTTAGATTAAATGTAAAACACTTGTTTACGTGACAATCGTAAACAGAAGCGGTAATTTTTCTACGTAAGATCGACCGTGATTCGTCGAACTTAAGGTCAACGCGTGACGCTACACCAAACATGTAGGCCGGAGCGGAGCTTTACACCTGTACTTATTTTTGACCTGTTTACCGATTTTTTTTCTTCTTTTTAGTCTCCTGTTTAATCATTAGTTCCTGTATGGGACTCGTAGACGGAATGAAACTGTCTCAAATTATTATAAAACTTTGCTTCGTGTTGATTCTTCCGACTTCAAACGGTAAGTGTAACTTCTAATTCCCGGAATTTTTGGTAATTTTAAACTTTATTCTTCTAAGAATTAGCCGTCTAATACAGTTGTAACTTAGGGGAAGAGAAAAAAAAACTGAGGTTTCCTCGTGCGAAGTCAGCTTTTTGACTCGTTCACGTGACACAGGTGTGGCCTTTTTATCGAATCGAAATTACACCTTTGGGAGAAGAGTTAGGTTTAAAGGTCGTTAAATGTCTGTGGAGGATTTGGGTTATTAATAGAGATTTGTTACATAATAATTACGAATGAAATTTTTAAATGGTGTTGAATTTTCTTAGTTTTAAATCGATGGGGGTGAGTCGACATTTGTGTTTTGCTCCTTCACGTAAAACACTTATTAATTACATCATAAGTTATGAGCGAATATTTACAAACAATAGTTGACCCCATTTCTAAGTTATTTACGTGTGCTGCCATCTCCTGAAGGTGAACAGAATTCTTTAACAATTTATTATTATTATTTTTTAATAAATAATTGTAACAGTTTTTCAATGCTAAAATAAAAATTTTAGTTCAAAATTGACTTTTAACAGTTTTTTGGAACTTGTTCAAAACATTTTAGAATGACAATAGAATAGAAAAAGGGAATGTTGAAGTTCAACCTAAATATGTAAAAATGAAATGATTTTGAATTGAATGATCATAATAATTTAAATGATGATGAAAGTCATAGGTTGTGTGTCTAAAAGAAATTATTGTAGAACCTAAAATAAAACATTTGTATAATAAATTTCCTAAATATGTTTTATTTTAGATTCTACAATAATTTCTTTTAGACACACAACCTATGACTTTTATTCAAAATTAAAAGCAAATACTATATAAGAAATTATTCAAGAGAATTGAAAATAACATATATTAATATTGGAATTGTTAAATTAAATTGTTTACAAGATATACATACAGAAAAAGAATGCTTAAAGGTTGCCAAGTGTTAAAATAGTTTTACAACACTTCAGTTTAAAGACATCTTGAAAGAGAAGTTGATTAATTATTAAGGTTCTACAACTTTTAATGATGATCTAACAGTTTATAAAAATTTGTGTATTCAATAGTTACAATATGATCTTAAATAATTTTTAAGATGAAGTTTTTTAAAATTTATTCTCATATATTGCTTTATTTTTTAGTCCTCTAACATATTTTATATATAATTCTAAATCTTAATTTAAAATTTAAATATACAAAATATTAACAATTGTTTTCTTGATTTGTGAAATAAAATAATTTATTGTAATCTTTAACAGATCTTACATATAGAGAATCACTAATATACTTTCTTCAATAATTTTTTCAGCATGTCTAATGATATAATGATTGAAAGTTGCATTTTATATTGTAATAATATTTTGAAATTATCAGTAATACAACTTACTAGTTTACATCAGAGATGTAGATAAAAGATATTGGAAGTTTTTGTGTAGTGTATATGTGTATTTAATAAATTATGTGAAACAACAATTTACAATAATGAAGTTTAAGTAAGGAAGCCTGATCTACTTATGATCAACTTTAAGTTCCAAGAATATGATAAGAAAAGAAAAACAAAACTACAGCAAAATGTTTAAATTTATTTTGGCCCATATATACAAGATTGGGCAAAATGTAGAGCCAGATATAAATGAGGCAATAAAATGTAACCAGTGGAAAATAACATCAATACAAAGCCAAAGATATGCCATTTGCATACCATGAATTTTAAAAGTCATTTTTTGAATATTATGCCAGGTAGGTGGTCATCACCATGAGCAATGCAATTTTCCAAGTAACAGATGAAAGCTTGCATTACATGATCCAACATACTTGTGAGAATGTTCTGTATGGCGTCTCATATAGTGTTCTTCAGGTCCACCAGTGTTTGAGGGCACGTAGCAAGCATCTGAGGCCGATTTCACATTGACTGACTGGACTGACTCCGAGTCATATTGCCATGACAACAGCAGGCAGTTGGCTGACTAGAAGTACCAGTTGGACAGATTTAAAAAGTTAAATATCTGTAGTTGAGTTGGAACAGTCGGTAAGCTACAGCCAATGAGAGTTTTGAAACTATAACCAATCAGACTTCAGATATATGAAAACTATCAAATTATGTAAATATAATATAATATAATATAAAAATTATATA